ACCGCAGGTTCATAAAGGGTTATTCCTCTGTAGTGCGACCACTCACTGACTTAACGAAAGGGTATCCACCTGCTGGTAAAGGGAAAACAAAGCCTAAGACCGCGGCGGCTCAGGGGTACTTTAAAGAGGCAGAACCCTTTGGAGATCGCTGGACTCCCGAATGTACTGAGGCGTTTAGGGAAATTATTTACCGATTGACTCATGCACCAGTTTTGGCCTTTGCAGATCCGTCCAGGCCCTACATCTTGCATGTAGATGCAAGTATGAATGGTCTTGGAGCGGTCCTTAATCAAGAATACCTGGACGGGTTGCGCCCAGTCGCGTACGCCAGCCGTAAGTTGAGTGAAACGGAGAAGCGCTACACTATCCATCAGCTTGAATTCCTAGCCCTTAAATGGGCTGTGGTCGATAAGTTTCACGATTATTTGTATGGGGTACGGTTTACTGTTCGCACCGACAACAATCCTCTCACTTACGTGCTGAGCAGTGCAAAACTGAACGCCACTGGACACCGTTGGTTGGCCGCTCTCGCCACCTACGAGTTTACTATTCAGTACAAGCCAGGTCGCATTAATACGGATGCTGATCTATTGTCCCGCAATCCGCACGATGACCCAGCTCCGGATAAGTGGACTGAGATCGCGCCTTCTGGTGTAAAAGCTGTATGCAAACTCGCTCAAGTTGATGTCCCTTCCAGTACTCCCCACAGGTTAGCCGATCAGTTAGGGGTTCATCCTGATGGTCTCCCGGCGGCATTCATTTGTCCTGTACAGTTAGGTGGTGAGTCTTTGGAACTGTTATCCTTGGATGACTTAAGGGGGGCTCAGGATACCGACGCTGTTATTGGAGTTGTGAAGAGAGAACTAGAGACCGGAAATGTAGTATCTACTGTGAAAGGAGATAGCCCAGCTGTTACCCTACTTCAGCGCCAGAGACAAAAATTACGCCTTTTGGATAATGTTTTGCATCGTGTAACGCAGACAGATAAGGGTGAAGAACGTACACAGTTAGTCTTGCCGGAAGTGTATCGCCAGACAGTTCTAAGGTCTCTTCATGATGAGTCAGGGCATTTAGGTATTGACAAGACCAAAGAATTGATTACAGACAGGTTTTACTGGCCAAAAATGGGTCTTGACATTGAGTCTTACGTGAAAAATTGTGGTAGGTGCATTGCTCGCAAGACTATCCCACAGAGAGCAGCCCCGTTAAATCAGCTTACCAGTAGAGGACCCCTTGATTTAGTCTGCATAGACTTTTTATCCCTAGAGCCTGACAGCAAAGGGTTCGCAAATGTCTTGGTAATTACCGATCATTATACCCGTTACGCTCAGGCGTATCCCACTAGGGATCAAAAAGCGACCACCGTGGCAAAGGTCCTGTTTGAGAAGTTTTTCGTCCACTATGGTCTACCTGCACGAGTACATTCTGACCAGGGGCGAGATTTTGAGTGCCAACTGATCCAGGAGTTTCTCCGTATGCTAGGTATCCGAAAGTCTAGGACAACGCCCTACCATCCACAGGGTGACCCACAGCCAGAGCGTTTCAACAGGACGCTATTGTCAATGCTGGGCACTCTGGAGTCAGCAAAGAGACAACGGTGGAGTCAATACGTTGCCTCATTGGTACATGCGTACAATTGCACATTCAATGAGGCAACAGGTTACTCGCCCTATTTTTTGCTATTTGGGCGAGAGGCTAGATTGCCCATTGATGTTTGTTTTGGACTTTTTCCCCATGGGAAGGAAAATACTACTCATACGCAGTATGTTCAAAAGTTGAAAGCTGATCTGCAGGAGGCCTACGAACTTGCTTCTGCTGCAGCATTGAGAAACCATCAGAAAAACAAAACTTACTATGATCGTAGGGTCCGGCACCAGGTCTTAGCTAAAGGAGACAGAGTATTGGTTAGAAATGTGGGACTCAAAGGGAAACACAAACTTCAAGATAAGTGGTGTTCCGTTCCGCACCTTGTAGTGGAACAATTTCCCCATTTGCCTGTATATCGTGTGAAACCTGAAAATGGATTTGGGCGAGAAAGAACGTTGCACAGAGATCATTTGCTCCCAATTGGAGAGTTTGTTCGGTTTGGTAACTCTGCTGAGAAAGAAAAAGTCTCTCGTAAACCGGTGACAAGGGCTGAACGAGCAAGGAGAGAATCCACAAAAGCATCAAGAACCGAGGCTGCTCGGTTACCTCGTGTTTCTGTGGATTTTTCAGTAAGCTCATCTAGTTCTGAGGATGAAGTGTATTATGGCGAGTCAGAAATTTGCCAAGAGTTACTGGATTCCTTCAGAAAAGCGCCAGAACATGGGGATAGCAAGCCGGTAGCATTGGCGGAAGATAATTTGTCTGCCAGTGAGCAGAGTGAGGTAGAAGAATTACCTGTTGAACCTGATGAAATGGTGGGGAACAATGCTGAGTCTGCTGTAGCTGAAGCAGTAGAGTCGGAGTCTGAAGGGGGAGACAATCCCGGTTCATATGACTCTGGTAAAGCTGAAGAAAGTAGGCATACTTATAGACTCAGACGCAAGGTAGAACCCGTCATTCGACTCAGTTATGATGAGCCAGGAGTACCTACAAACCGGCCTATTACCTTAGTACATCGTGGGCTTGTCATTCGGATAAGTTATGAAACCTGAGATGTTACATCATTTTGACACAGATTGTAAACATGTACCTGTCCCCTCTCAGTGTAAATGAGCATAAGTGTTAATCTTGGTCTTATGGGGGCATGAAGACCATTTGAAGGGGGAGAGTGTAACCCTGATGTATATATTTCCTGATGTATATATTTGTTATTTTCAATTTTTTTATATTTACTGAGGGTAAAATTGTGATAAAAGGTTTATTTTATTTTATTGTAATTTGAAATAAGTTTGGTGAATATGTATGTATTGTTTTTTTTCATGCATATATTAGAGTTTGGTTGTGGTGTACATGTGGAAAACGTGTCAAACCTTAATTTGGGTTGTGAGTTAATGTGCATTGGTCAATTAAGAGACTGACAAGTTTGTAATCCAATCAGATTGGCAGAGGGGAGGGAAACCAAAAAAGGAGAGTTCGAGAGAATTCGCGAGAGAAGAGATGATAAAGAATTCGAGAGAAAAAGACGCAGTTTCAGCGATGTCTTTGAGTGTTTTAAAACAAGAATCTGTTCTGTACTGAGAAGTACTGCTCGTATTTCTTCGCTTAAGGAAGTGACTTGTTTTAACTTGGGACTGTTTCAAGTAAGTTTACTGTCATTGCATATTTGGCTCGGCCAGAGTTGAACGCTGTGCATGTTAGCATACTTTATGGACCGAAACTGTTGTCGTCATCTGCTTAAACCGAGTGGAGTTTCAGGATAAAGAGACGGACTTTCGTTTCCCGGGTTGGAGATGTCGGTGAGCGTCGTCCAGTGATCTGGGGAGAATCCGACGCGTTGGCCGGTTGTGCACGGAGACATTGCCGCACGCGGGACTCAGGAACATTTCAGTATGATGATGATGAATGCGAATGTGTTTCAACGCACCCTAGCAATCAGATTGAGGTAACCAGTTAACTCAAACAATCTTTTTGTTTGCTCTCTTGAGCGAAGGGGCCAGTTTCGTTTTCTCGGCCACTACGCACTCAAGCTCCGAATCAGGCCTGCATCGGGGTGGGGAGGTGTTTAAACATTCAAGTGCACTAACAATATGGTAACTGTGTTTTTTTCCCTTTTATTTTGATTGTATTTTGGAGTATTTGGAAAGTTTAAAAGGGTTATTAAAGCTTGAAAAGCTATACAGAGCTATACAGTTAAAATTCAGGCTTAAATGGTTAACTTTAGTGAGTTAAATTCATTAAAACAGTGACTTAAAATTTAAATTATACTGTGATACTGCACAATAGTGTTTAGTTGCTGTTAAAAGACAATCACAGAGGGTGTTTTGACATTTTATTTGGTTTGTTTTATTTACATTTGTCAAATTCTAATTTTATTTTATTCAATCTCATTTAAATACAAAGTTTCACTTCTATGGACATTTAATACAAGTTTATTTGTTAAACATTTATTTCTGAGTGTGTGTGTATTTTTGCAGTTAAAAGAGAAATACAACTCGTGCGCTATAAGTAACCTGACGGCTTGTATAAAGTGATTCAGTGGAAGTTAATCTATTAGAAGACAGGGTAAAGGATCGTTAGAAATAAAAGAACTCAGGTCCCTATCAAAAAACTCTGACCTCGTGTAAATGGTTAGTGGATAGGGGTTACACACGTCCCCCCCAAATTTCTAAATCTAAGTTTTGTCCCCCCCACTATTTCCCAATGTAGGATTTTGTTTCGCATTGCTTGCCTATCTCTGCCAATTTTGGAGTCTCCCAATTAATCCATTCTGCAACTTTTAAACACATAATTCAATTTTGAAAAACGACCGGTATTCTTCAGCTGTCGTCAGTCGACCATGATCGCGTCTAGGTGACACGGATAAATGTACACATCAATATGTTCCTGGGACATCTGTAGTTGCACGGGATGTGGAAGCGCGCAAAAGTTCCAGAAATGTACAAAGTGCCCTGGCCTTGAATGACAAGGTAAGGAAAATAAGACTAAACCAAAATTAAATAACCAAGACTTGGTTGGTATTTTTATGTCTATGACTAGCTTCTAGCTTTCTGCGGCTTCTCTTTCAAGGTAGTGACGAAAGGCGCTCTGTAGCGCTGTGTGTTCGTGTTCGGCTACGGTAGAAACATGACGTCACAATATGGCGGCCTTCATAGAAGGGGGTGCCCATGGTTATGTAGATATAAATGTCTCATTCAAATGTAATAAAAACATTACGGTTTATTAAGTAAGTTATTTATACACCACTAAAAACATAGTTATGGATATCATATTGCATTTCTGTTAATAGATACTCAAAATTTTGACACATTGCACCTTTAAAACAGCTCAAACATGCATTTTAGTCTGGGACTCGTTTAAGCCTTGTCTGTGAAACCATGCGTAGAAGTAAGAATCTGAAAGAAGTCAGTAGTTACCGAGAGATAGCTGCTGTTTTGAAACGATTGGTCTTGTTCTATTATCACACTCAAAGTCTCCCACTCTCCTTGAATGCCTCCAACAATCGATACGTTAGGTGGATGGATGAAGTTAACCTCACATTCTGTAGATCAACACAAGCAAAAAAATATTTAGCCGTTTAGCACTTATTCAGATATAATTAATTCTCTTAAAAGTGTTCTCTTACTGCTTTGGTTCCATCCATTGATAGCCACAGAACATTCTCCATGCACAAAGGGGTAGTTGAAAAGGTTGATATCATTACAGCTCACGGATATGAACAAGATAGCACTATAGTCCACCAATCCGTCCCGGTTCACCTGCACATCATGAGTGTAAGGCTTCACGGTTACATCTATCCTGAATTCATAAAGAAAGAATATGACTTTCATCCATCCGGAAACCAATGATGAGTCTGTTGTCATTTTTAGCTTTGGTTCATCTGTACACACAGCAAAATCAACTCACAACATTTGGTCCCTCTAAACAGAGAGTTAAAGTAACTCTGAATCAATCCTTGTTCAGATTAGTGAGATAATAAAGTGATTAATTATAGTAATATCAGCGTTTATTTGTATTTTTGTTGGGGGGGGGGGGGGGGGGTCACATGTTTTTGTTCTGTGCTTACTTATACTACGCCCTAAAAGTATGTACTCTTTTTGTGAGGAAAAAGTACATACTTTTGAGTGTGTATGTGTAGTAAAAGAGTAGGCAAGCTTTGGGACATACTATCACGTCATCTTTAACGGACAGCTCTGTCGCGTGCTGCGTTGCATCCTGTCACCGTAAACTGCCCTGTCAATCATCTTGTCACAGTTAAAATCCTCCATTCTATCTAATTTTATTTCCTACCGTTTCGGAGAGGGCGTTCATCTGCCAGTTGTGGGTCTTTCATGCTTTCCTCGTGTGTTTGCAATTTGAATATAATGATGCGTTTGAAACGTAATGGCTAAACGTGTCTTTACAAAAGTTCACAATGCTGCTGCAAATGCAATATAATGTGGACAACATTGAATAAATTCATTTTCGTCAGGTTAGATACTGATAATTAATCACTCAAAGCTCTTTATCTAAACCTCTCTACACAACCGCGGGGACTCGCGCTTCCTCCGTATGTAGTTTTTAACACTTTTTACTCGTGTTTGTATTTCTAAGCGAATCCTTGTCCAACGCGCAATGGTTTGTGGGCAATATCAGCCGTTAGAGTGCGCATCGATCTACACTTCGGATTCCGACTGGAAAAAGTAGACCATCCGGGTATCTTTGAAACCCTCATTTCAACATACTACGATTTGGGACCTACTAATTCTATTTTCGAATACTATTTAGGACTGATAATATGCGAATTGGGACGCAGCAATTGTTTGATTTAATTTGCTCACCTGCTGTTCATTTCTTTAATGATTATGTGTTTGTCCATTTAAGACCTGCGTTTTGTTAAGTTCTTGTTGTTTGTTACCTGCTTAAAGGGATAGTTCACTTTGAAATTAATCTTTGGTATGTTTTATCTTACCTCAAGGGCCTCCAAGATGTAGGTGTCTTTGTTTCCACAGTATTTTGAATTTTTCGGTCAAACAGTTGCTGTCTGTCAGTCCTATAATGCAGGTATGGGGGTCCACGACAAAGAGCATGCACAGAGAAGTCCAAATTAAACATGATTTAATGACTCGTAAATGTAAGAACACATTGATGGTCTAAGACACGAAACGAGCGGTTTGTGTGAGAAAACAAAACATTTATATAGTTTTTACCTTTTGTTAACAGCCATGTCCAACTGATCTGAATCAGATGTCCAACTGAACCGAACAGAACCATGTCCAGCGTTACGCCGGAAGTGATTGCTTACGCGTCTACGTCACTCGTTGTTTACACAGAGATTTCGGAAGTTTTACCTTTCACTAAACATATTTAGATATATTGAAATCGTCTTCCATTGCAATTTCCTGTATATCTAAATATCTTCACAGTGATAGGTAAAACTTCAAAAATCTCCGTGTAAACAATGAGTGACGTACACACGCGTAAGCGATCACTTCCGGTGGAACTTTGGACACGGTTCAGTTCGGTTCAGTTGGACATTGGATAACTGATTCAGATCAGTTGGACATGGCTGTTAACAAGAGGTAAAAACAATATAAATACGTTCCTTTTTTTTCACACAAACCACTCGTTCCGTGTCTTAGGACCTCAATGTGTACTTACATTTACGAGTCATTAAATCGTGTTTAATTTTGACTTCTCTGCATGCTCTTTGTTGTGGACCCCCATACCTGCATTATATGACTGACAGACAAGAACGGTTTGACCGAAAAATGTCAAAATTGAAAATACTGTGAAAACAAAGACACCTACATCTTGGATGCCCTTAAGGTAAGATAAAACATGCCAAAAAAATTTGCTGCAATGTTCGGTAAAATTTTAACTTCATAAAAATGAAACTGGAGAGATAGTAAATGAGTGAATATATATATATATATATATATATATATATATATATACAGGTACTCAAGTATCATTATTGTTATACAGTAAGTGTAAACAGCATAAAAAAGATTCAATAAAAGAGATGAATCTTATTTTCATATCTTTTTATTGTAAAAAGTACTGTATGCTATAAATAAAAGTTACTTGAGTATTTTATAACTTATAATTGTGAATAAGTTACACTTAAGAGAGCAACACTTAAAATTGTATGATTTTACTCAAGGAGCCTTTAGGTTAATAAATGTGTCCACAAATACCTCGTTTATAAAAAAGTAAAAAAAAAGTGGAGGGTCATCTTACACTACTGGACAGGCTGTGTTTGCATATACTAAACGAAAAATGCATGTCATGCAAAATAAACATATTTGTTCTGAGGTCACTTACACATTCTCCAAAACCAATTCAGGAGTCCAGATTTTGTCAACTGGTAACATAACAGCCTCAGCATCAGAAATTGTGGTATTCCACTGTAGTTCAAGATCCCTCCACACCTATAGAGAAAAAATAAATGGTAACACTTTATTTCAATCATCCACTTCAGACATTCTAATAATAAAATTAACTTTACAATTGTGAAATAACAATTAATTAAAGTTGTAGACTGTCTGCTTAATATCCACTATTTTTTCTTTCCCAAAAAACATTCTTAAATTCAAATATTCAACAATATTATTGATGTGCTTGCAAAGGTTTTTGACAAACACAATGTCAAACCAGCCAAGCATGTAATAAGTTAAGAAGAAATCAACTAAATGAAACACTAATCACTGTTATGGTGACTTCAAATGAAGCTAAAATGAGTCGTAAGACCTTCGTTCATCTTCGGAACACAAATGAAGATATTTTTGATTAAATTTGAGAGGTGGATCACTGCTACATAGGCTCCTAAGGGATCGAAACTTGACGGCCCAGAAAGTCATTGAAGAAAATGTTTAAATATTCCATGTGAGTAAAGTAGCTCAAGTATATGTTTATCAAGCGGCGAGAATACTTTTTGTGTGAAAAAACAAACAAAAATAACGACTTTATTCGACTATTCCTTTTCTTCCTTGTTGGCCTGAGACGAAAGTTCAAGAGATTTCCACAACGCATGCGCAAGAAGCATACGTTGTGGAAATCTAGAAATCAGCTGACTGAGTTAATGGGTGGAATAAATGTATGGCAGGAATTTGAGGCTATGTTTACACGGAAACGATTCTGAAGAGAAAACGCAAAAGTGGCGTTGCAGCATCTTTTTTTATTCTGTGTTTAGATGAGCGTTTTGTGTGGGCAAATGGAGACGCAAAAGTGTGTGAAATTCAATGTAGTATGCACTTCAGGCGGCTAGGAGTGCATACTACAACAACACCAAGTCCACGCGCCTGCGTACAACTTTCACCGTCAAGCAGACTTTTGTGTTTTTACCGTTTACACCGGAACGTGGCGGTGGGGCGTTTTTAAGATTTCCACTCTGGAGGGTGGTTTCACTTTTTTGCGTTTTTGAGCCTCAAAAACGCCGTTGCCGTGTAAACGAAAGGCACATCCGATAAAATATTTTTACGTTTTCACCCGCGAGCGTTCTCGTGTAAACAGGGCCTTACTCTTTGGCCCTGTTCTCCTGTTCTACTGACTTCATTAAAGAAGGAAGTAGAGGGACATAGTCCAAATGGGCCATTCGATGTAGGCTTCTGCTGTTAAATAAAAATTCCTCGCTTGTCTTGAACTTTGAACTTTATAATTTTACAGATATTATTTTTACTCTAACAAGCAACATTACTTTTGTTGCTTGTGTTTTCTTTAGTTGGGCAGTTGACCTTTGAATATTTAATTTAAGATTTAGTTTGGTTGTTATAATTGAATTTTATCACCCAGATTAACAAAGAGATAAAGGTGATCAGATGTTGTTGGTTATGTTTTGACATAATTATTAATTGACCTGAATCATTAAACTCATAGAATCTAACTTAAATTTAAATCCAAATAAAATCATAAAATTTGTTCTGATGAAAAAAGAATCTTTGTTTTAGGCATACACAGACATCAAGATTCAGTGTATGAATCTCAACAATGGTGACAAGCAGAATATTCAAGTAGGTAAAGTAAATTACTAAGACAATAAAGATCATAATTTATTCAAACTGCAATGCATGATGGGAGACATGCATGGCTTTTGATTGGTGGCACCCAGAATGCACTGCAACATGTAATTTAATTGTCACCATTGTTGAGAATCACAGGCTGATTCTTGATGTCTGTGTGTCCAAAACAAATCTCTTTTTTTTTGTCTTTTGAATAGAACATTTTTTAAGAAATATTTTGGACAATATTTAAATTACTGAAAATATTACATTAAGTAATCAAAAGGTTAAACTGTACAAATGAGTTTTGTGACAAATAAACATAACAAAACATAACAAAAATTACCTCATAAGATTTCCATGTTGTTTGTCTGGCTGTTATAACTTGGTTGGACCTAATGCGCTAACAGACCTATCACAGATCAGTGACAGTGCGTTTGATTTCACCGGCAGAAACTTTTTGAAAATGAGGATGAAGGTACTGAATACGCACTATTACACATAGTGTCAGCCATGTTTTTTTTGGAAGCTAAACTAGCAGGCTGTTGTTCTGTGGAGAAAGCTGAGTAGTAGGGGTTACCGTCCTTTTTTTCCCGGACATGCCCAGCCGTCGATCAGCCTGTGAATAGCAGCTTTTATGGACTCTCTATCTATGGGCTTTTCCTTGACTTTATGCTTTCATGTCCCCCCGATTGTCTCACAGACAGTAAAATATTGTCTGCGAGCTTCTCCTCCAGTCTATATGGTAATGTGTCTATTTTGCGACAGAAAGTTGCGGGATTATGACACAATCGTTAGCCTCCGTTTTATAAAAAACGGCTTCTACGGGCCTGTAACATAAGATACAAAGTAATGGAGGATTTTATACATTGTCGTATTTCTTTAGAAATAAACAATGGACAAATGAAGTCTTTGGATGCCTCAGATATAAAGTTATTCGTTGTCAAAGTGACGCCGAGTCAATGGAATGCTAACAGCAGGTGAAGTTCTGCTACAATGTTGGCTTCCGTGAGGCTTCAACTTCCGGCTGATGGATTACACTCTTGGTCGCTCATCGTAATCACGCCACCGGCCTCGCATCGTTCTCAAAGCGGCCCTCACTCGTCCTGCTGAACGCAATGGTGACTGTAGAACGTAAAATCCGAATCCTGGACATTTTCGACATCTCGAAACGGATTTTCGGGCAGACTCATCACGGAGACTCACTAGTAACCTAGACTTGTTGTTATACTGCGCTCTGTCACTGGTAGGCATGGCCTCCTAGGGCAGCGAAGCAAGTGCATTCTGGGAGTTGTTGTCTTTCATCCACATAAGCCAAAAATACATTTTCTTTCTCAGTCTAGCTCCAAATTCAAAAATAATTTCACAATCCTTCTACATAAATTACCCATTTTAAATACACATTCATCTTTCCAGAGGTGGAGTATCCATTTTAAAGGTTAGTGTGATGTTCCTGAAACATTCTTTCAATCATTCAAACACGGGCTGTGAACAAGCACTGAAAGAAAGAGAAATAAGAACACAAACTACAACTTTCTTCAGCCAAGGCTGAAGAAAGTTATAGTTTGTATTATTATTTCTCTTTCTATTTCACAGATGAACTGAAGATAAAAGAAGACATTAAATCTCTTAAGATCTGATAAACCAACTCCACAAACAGAATTACCAGCTTCACTTATTACCAACCTGACTTTATTTCTGTCAGACATCTACAGAAGCTTTATTGATAATTAACAGAGTTTTAGATTGTTTGGTTGAAATGTTTCGTTTCATTAAATAAGTGCATTATCAGAAATTGCAAAGTGATTATGGGGTATATTTTTGGTGGATTAATCCAGATGGGTTAATTTCAGGTGTAAACAGTGGCTTAGTTAGGAGACTGCCTGCTGGATCATCAACATAAAGTGTAACTTAATATACTCCTATTTCTGTTTTTAGAGAAAATAAAAGTGTTTTTTTTTTTTGTTCTTTTGAAAGTCAACATCAAAAATGTATCCATACTTACCATGTTTACCTTGATACGGCTGCTCATTTGCATGTTTTTTGTGTCCTAAACATTGAAACAGGGTTATACATTTTAAACATGTAATATTACATAAACAAAAATATTACATAATAGTTAGATTTACTTCAAATTTATTTTAATTGTATAATAATAAGAATAAGTCAAATCAACGTTTTTGTCATATGGAAAAACAAGATATTCTTATAGCATTTGAGTTAATAGAATATTTTGGTTAAACTTCTTTTCGATGGTCCACTTTAGACATTGTACTAACTATAAGTATTTTTGCAACTGCATGCCATCTAACTCTTATTTGAGTAGGCTATAGGTGTCAGGATTCGAGTTTGTAGAATAAGTTGACATTTATTTGTAAAGTTAAAGTTAGTAGAATGTCTAAAATATAAACTATTGAACAAAGTGTTACTATATATATATATATATATATATATATATTGTATCTGTGTATACTGTATATGTACATTGTTAACAGCGGCATTTGTTATATTATTAATTACATTTGTTTTTTGAGCATGAAAAAAGACAGAAACCATAATGATAAAATAGGCGATATATCGCATGACATTGTTATGTTCCTTGATTAGTAGTAAATCAACTTCAACTGCTTTCAGATGGAGTGGCATTTACTACAAAGAGCCGTTCTGCATCATATCTTCCAGGTGAAGGTGATTTACTACTAATCAATGAACCGGCTTTTGAGATGTGCTGAACAATGTCATGCAATATAGCCCTAAAAAAAATAAGAACAATCTGCTACTTACAAAAGACATGGTCTCATACTTGATTGAAGTGATGGATACATTGACAGAACAAGTATTACCCTGTGGTGCGCTCTTCATTTTCTTATTAATCATCATATTTGCCAGACATCGATTGTTACATGAATCTGTCAAGACTGTTAGACCAGATTAACATATTATAAACATTACTTATTTAAATTAATAAACAATTTGAGAATTGTCAACACGTCAAAGAATTTTCCAACCACATAATGTCAAAATTACAAAAGAAATAGATTACCAATCAGACATGAAAAGATGAGAAGCAACAAAGTGATCCTGTGTTGAAGAACCATTTCAGACCCTACAAACAAACAACAAAAAAGTATTATATTCAAACATCTCTTATATGCATACAGCTGTATGTATCTTTAAGACAAATTTAAGAAACTGATAAACTTTACCTTTGCTTGACTTCTCCAAAAATGTCACAAACATCAGCTGTCACCACTTTATATGAACAAGTATCAGTCGTATTTTTAAAGGCTAGGAGCTCTTTTAATACCACATCAGAGTGCAGTAAAACAAACAAAATTGAGTCAGCTCATATTAAATTTCAGCCTGCGTTTTGTGTAAACTTTAGTTTTTGAGATTCTGATGTGAAAGGGCTTCAGGGCTATGAATACAAAAGTTGTTTTCAGTGCAGCGTCAGATACTGTACCTCCAGGCTCTTCATTCTCCTCTCAGCAAAACACGCTAATCTATTAGCAGCGTCCTGAAAGAAAACTCATTCAGAAGAGTCTGTAATCCTCATTTGCAAGCTCTTTGTTTTGCCGGAGCTTCTAGATGTGCCTGATGTGGACAAAGACAATAATCATATTCATGATCAGTAATTAAAATTATAGTCCCTTTATTTAAGCTAGAATTTTGTGTAGAAACAACACAAAATTATTTTTGTGTTCCCAAAAGAAAGTCATAAGTTTGGAGCGACACAAGGGTGAATCTTGCTTTTACTGCAAATGCCAATAACGGCTCATTTGACCACATCCAAGTCCAACCAAGCAGCCTTTTCCTCAAGGCCTTCCACCAAACAGCACAGGACAGATCAAAACAGGTGATTGAAATTTGCTAACTCTTTATGTCAGTGAGGTTTTTAGGTAAGACTTTATTTCGATAGTCCACTTTAGATATTATACTCAGTTAACACTTTGGACACTTTGCACAGTAAAACGTCCTTTTAGATATCAACCCGCTGAAAGATAAACCTGATTGTCTCGTCTGTCTCTGGGGACATGCCTTCCACACGTTTCAAAGTTTGATTGACATATGATGGACTAATTGTTTTAGAGAAATCTTGAAAAAACTGCCGGGAGAATCAGTGTCCGGATTACCATGAGGACTCACGGTGTTCCGGACGGCTGCAAATTTCGACTCACTGTGTTTCGGACAGTAATTACTAATATAAAATGCATTCATTTTAGCAACTAGAAGTAGTTATCATATTAATCTTCATAACTTTGTTTTATAAGCGTCTATACACTCTTTTAATCGACAATTGCTCATTAGAGCATTATGTTATATTTAAGAATTTAAAATATCATTATTTTTTTAATCCCTTGAAGTAAAAAATATTTGCAAATTGTAACTCATAATTACTTTATAAGACCATACAAATGTTTTTTTCATCATTTTCTGGTGGGTGATCGTGTTTTAAGAGCCGTTTTTTTATGGATGTTCTCCCCTCCCAGATAGCAAACTGACATTGAATCAACGTGGAAATATGACATCGAAACAACGTTGATCTGACATTGTTTTGCTCATCGAATTAACGTTGAACCAACGTCAGACGCGTCATTCTTTCAAAACTAACGGAAAATCAACTTGAAATCAACGCATTGTTTCAACGTTATGAAAGCAAACCAATTTTCGATTTTCATTTAGCTTTGAAGAATGCCGCGTCTGACGTTGGTTCAACGTTAATTCGATGAGCAAAATCAACGTTGTTTCAATGTCATGAGAGACGTCGTTTCCACGTTGATTCAATGTCAGTTTGCTATCTGGGCTCATCCATTTGTCCTGCCGGAAAACCTTCCCCTCATCATTTTTTGAACAGTCAATGGTGTACTTTAGAAACTCGCGATGATTTCTTTGAGACGAATGGCTCTGGAAACATAGGGTTGGTCGGAATCGAAAGAGTAGGAGGCAAAGATAACACGGATATATATATATATATATATATATATATATATATATATATATATATATATATGCCGGGACCTGAAAGTGTTTATTTATAAAATTTGTGAGAAAAAGGCCAAATGTCTGGAATACCGTGATGTCCGGAATACAGTGAGTCTACATTACCAAGTTAAGCTAACTCATTTCAATTGAGGAAACCGATCACCTCAATTCATTTCAGTTTATAAAAAAACAATAATGAGTACTCTGAAATTGTTTCAGTTGAGTTCACTAAAAGTAGATATTGCTGTCAAGAAATTAAAAGTGCAGTGTGTAATTTTTAGCGGCATCTAGCCTCCTAAGACCTGAGTTTTGATCAATCATCAATTCATTAATCACTTAATTATCTCATTAACTTGAACTATGATTCAGTGTTACTTCAACATTTTGTGGGACCACAAATACTTTGAGCAGAGTTCATTTAACACTTTTTGCTGTGCACATTCTTAATCTTAATTCATACATAATACATTGTTTCATAGTAGTTTCAAGTCTCTGTTAAAGGAATATTTCACCAAAAAACGTAAAAACAAACTGCCTCCTTTGAATGCAAAAGGAGAAAATATTTCTATGTTAATTGTAACTGCAAGGGGGAAAACACTAGTTGATTCTTTAAAAAAAAAATCATTTTGTGTTACCAACAGAACATTGTCACAGTCCTTCGTCTGCACCATCCTGCCTGCGTCTCCTGCACTACACTTCCCATGATCCTCTCGTCTGCACACCTGAACTCACTCCCTCATCAGCCTCCCGTTCAGCGTCCTGTTTCATCTGTTTCACCTGTTTTCACCCCATTATGTCTGATTCCTCTGTGTATTTAGTTCCCTCAGTTCCCTTTCGTAGTCACTTCGAGTTACGTCAGAAGTGACGGAGATTGGGGGTTTCGCATAGAAAGCCAATCCTCTTCGAGTATTTAAACACGAGCCAATGGCATGCAATGCCTTGGGGCTGCGGAAATTTGCATAGCGTACTCCGCCCTACTCCGTGAGTATAAAAGGAGGAAGTGAACGCAACCGCAGTATGTTTTCGCTTCGGAGCCAAGAGAACCTCTTCACTCCTGAAAGCACTGTTCAAGACTCTTCGAGACGAGCGTCCTCTTCAGTGTTGGTGTGACGGCGGTACCCAGCGAGATTCTGCATCGCCTGCGATCTGAGCAGTGGTCTGCCAGACTTTGCGCTTCTCCCTGGTCGCTTCAGCGCTGAAAGAGTGAATTTCCTCCTCTCATTGAAAGAGCTGCACGCGCACGTCTTTTTAAAGACGGTTCGCCCGTGTTCTTCTGGGTGTGGTTGATTTCTGTCGTCATCTGATGGTCACGATCGCTGCTCTGTATGCCTGGGCATTTCAGCATGCAGCAGCAGCGTTCGTGGATGACTCATGTTCCTTCTGTGGGAACATGACCATCTCTACACTGAGGTCGAGACTCAATGATCTCACTTGAGTGAGAGTCCCGGTCCCCCCCGCTCGATCGGTTTCCTCCATAGGGGGCCCGTCGACCCGGGGACCTGGTGATTTTACGGTGATGGTGTGGGACAAAGCCCCGACGATTCCTCGGGCCACACCTCCCGCCTCAGTGCGAGAGCCAGCGAGCGTTAGTTCGATTCAGTCGGTTGCTTCTTTGGTGGCACCGGCTGCTTCGGGCAGCGCTCCAGATGATGATGCGATGTCGATCACAGCATCACTAGGCGGGCTTGACTCCTCGGAAAGTGAGGATGCGGCCGCGTTGCCTCCCTCGGGAGCGTCAGCGCCGCCGTGTCTGATCCCGCGATGAGGGCCATGCTATCTCGGGCGTCCGTGAGCATCGGGTGGGGGTGGAACTCCGCCCCATCCCGATCTCTCGCGGCTGAATAATTGGTTTTTGGGTAACGCTGCCGCCTTACGGCCACGGCCAACCCCAATTTCCTTTTTTCCCCGAGTTGCATGCGGAACTGACACGCACTAAAAAAATAAATAAATAAATAATTAAAAAAAAAAAAAAAAAAAAAGGCGTGCTTTAGTTCCCCGCCCTTCCTCCCCTCGGCGATGCGGCTGTCTGTGGGTACGCTGGGGCTCCCCCGGTCAACCGGCGGTTGCTCTCAGATGCCCCTCCAAAGCCTATGGGTTCTCGTCGTCTATGGCGGCGCGATTCTGTAGAGCGACGGGACAGGCAGCCTCCGCCCTGCATATGATGAGCACCTACAAAGCTAGCTGCTCAGGATTGTGCACGAGGAGGTGACGGACCAAGCGAGCTGCGAGCCTGCCGCCTACCTTGTCCTTAAACGGGTCACGGAGGCGGTCGCTCGCTCCCTTGGTCAGGTGATGCCCACCGCTGTGGTCCAGGAGCATCATATGTTCGGCGGTGCGGTCCAGGACTTTGCCCAGCACTTCTCGACCGCCTAGGAGCAGACGAAGGCGGTTTCTCTGCCCCGACGGCCAGCTGCTGCCTCCAACCAGCCGTCGGCTCGGACGCCTCCGCCAGCTCGCCGCCAAGGACGCCCCCCTGCGGCTCCCTTCCCTCCCACGCGGCCCCAGCAGCAGCCTTCAGCCGGTTCGCGTCGCGGAGGAGGCCACAGGTAAGCGTCCCCCCCCCCCCCCCCTCAGGCCGTGTGCCCCGCTAAACGCCAGGCGAAGCGATGTTCCTGAGGCGGGCCGCTCAGTGATAGTGTCATGGTTTTTCTCAGGAGGCGGTGGCAGGGCCCCTCCTTCCCCGGTGGAGGGCCGGTGGAGAATCTTTTGTTCTAGCTAGCTCCCTGAGCTGGTTGAGGAAAAGCTGACACTGTCATGGAGCACACAGACTGGCATGAGCGCGCACGACGTCCATTGCGTCGCCCCGTTCATTCCTCTCTGTCTCGGAGGGCGCGGAAGGGTGCGTGTGTCGTCCCCGGGCTACGCCAATCCCTTCCCCCTCTGTCGCCAGACCCCCGGCAGAACAGACCCCCGTGGAACGCTCTGCCTTCCCTGGTCTCTTCTGTCGGGGAGCGGGTTTCGACGGTGCATCCGGACGGGGTAACTCCTGCACGCATGCCGGACGACCCGCCTCGCTGCCCCTCCGGGGGGACGTCTGTGGTTCGCATGACCCCGTTGGCTCACTTCCTGGAAGCCTAGCTAGCGCTTCCCGGGTATCCCACTGGGTCATCAGAACGATCAGATTCGGCTACGCGATTCAGTTCGCACGGTCTCTTCCCCGCTTCAGGGGAGTTCGCTCCGCGATGTTTGGTGGCAATGCCCCAGTCTTGAGAGCGGAGATTGCGACCCTGCTGGCGAAGGGTGCAATCGAGACGGTCCCTCCAGCCGAGGTGAGGTCCGGGCTTACAGCCCCTACTTCATT